AAGTGGCAACAACAAATTGACTACTTTTCCGAGAATGTCGAGTAAGTTAGGGTTGAATTCGTTTCAATGGTAAAGGCAAATTGAGAGCGTATGGATGGATAGAGAACGGGTCCTGAAAGGACAGCAGATGTTTAGACAAATAATCCAGTCCATCCTTCAACACTACTTATTAGTTGTCGAAAGTTAATTGGCTGATAAAACATTGGTGCAGTTACAAGTAGATTCAAAAGACTACACGCAACAGGTTTCATACAGCGTTAAGAAGGGGAGATTAGTTAACAGTAAAAATTACTCATTACCAACGGAAATTAAATATAAGTAAATTCAATGATTATTGTTTTGCATCAAGGTGTTCCGCCTTCTCTGAAATTGCCCTTCAATCGACTCGAATTAGAAGACATTCACAACCTTGGAACGTTTAGCTAAAAACGAAGATCTCTAGCCCAAAGGAGGAGATTAATGCATTATCTCATACGCACCTTGCAAATAATACCAGCCAAAAATGAGTTTTTGGCGCCAACGTCCCTTTGCAGCTCAATCTTGGCTGCTGATGCATCAATAAATAGGAAGATCTGATCAGTACACAAGCAACACAGAGTATGCTTTGTCGATTTGAATGAGGCTCCTTGGGAGATAATATTAACGGAGCAAAAAGATGAGGTAAAAATACCGGCCGTCTATCAACGCTTTCTAACTCAAAACATTGGCATATTCGGACAAATGGCTTTAAAATGAAACACCATCCAGCTTAGAAATTTTCGCCAGTAAAAATGAGAGATTGTAAGGTAACACTCCGAAATTTGGTTTTTTTAGAGTAAAACAAAATGAACTAGTTCAAATGTGACACGCATTCCGTATTCAATGCGTTAAAATGAAAGGACCAAAAGACACAGAATTACTTTGTTCGCTTGGCCAATTCGGTGTGCTCGTGAGAAGGCCTGTATGTCATTGTGGGGATTCCAATCAGAGTCATAGATGATCACCGTATCTGCCGTAGCCAGGTTAATGCCCAGGCCACCAGCTCTTGTTGATAACAAAAACACAAATGACGCAGAATCGATTGCATTAAACCGATCAATAGCATCCTGCCTCTGCTGACCCGTCACATTGCCGTCAATGCGCTCAAACTTGTACCCTTCTGCTTCGAGAAAGTCCTCTAATAGATCCAGCATCTTGGTCATTTGGGAGAAGATAAGAACCCGATGGCCACCAGCTTTCAGTTTCTGCAACATTGCGGAGAGAAGCTCAAGCTTGCCACAGGCCTTGCGCAAAGCTGAACCCTCAAAGGCTCCGTTGGGTAAACGAGGCGCATCCTCAGCAGCAGATGGAAAGAGGTAGGGATGATTGCAGCACTTCTTAAGGTCCATCATCACGTTAATGAGGGAGGGCTGGGCGCCGCCACTTCTACAGCTCAGCGCGTCAAAATTCTTCGTTAGGATGAACTTGTAGAACTTCCTATAGAGCAATGACGAATACGATAAACAACTTTGGTATTAACTACGCACTCGGTTTGCTGATTTCATTATGTAAGCCCACATTGAATAATGATGTAACATGTGGTCCGTGTCACTTTACAGACTGCTTGTTCAAAGCGCTAAAATATACC